TTCTGAAGCTACATAAAATATCTTAATTATTTAGTTGAATCTCTGAACTGGTGTTTGTTATAGTTTATCAGATTATTCAAATTAGAGAGTCAATCTATCATTCAAGGGAATGTATTAAGCTAATTCCATGTTAAGATGTTGGTATGTAGTTCCTAATTTCATTGGCCTAGTAAGAACATATAAAAGATTGATATCAACTCGAGGTGATAGTTTGAAGCCGGGGTCATTTTGTGAAGCTGATATATAAGGCTTAATCATGATAATATGTCTGTCACTTGATTGATTAGTTGGTTCTTTTCTTTTGCGAACTTCCGGTACATGTTTAAAGGTCATATGATATGATGTATTGCAGGCAGGAAATAACACAAGGTGTTAAAAGGTCTACTCGTGCTGTACGTGTGGCAGAGGAAAAGATGCGTCAATTTGCAAACATGACATCAACAGGTTAGCTATTATAATCTCAGGAATCATGTTGAACTAAAATTCTGTGCGCTTCCATGTTATCCTGAACTTGGAATTTTCACTTCATCTTCACTTCATTAGCACCAATGCAGATAGTCAGCACCAAAGCAACATCAATAGTTGAGCCCGCGTTAGCTAAATCTGCAAGAGGCATGCGTGAGGGCATTGTAAAGGGTCGTTCAATGATCCAAATGTTATTTGCTCTCACTGGGTTTTCTAGGTCGGTCGCCAATTTTTTTTTCAAATAGATCTAGGCTTAGATCCTTGAATAAATAGTTTTGATGATAAGAGCAGTAAAAATGTAAGATTCATTTTCACTTTTGTACATATGAATAGATTTCGTTGATGCAAGGTAGCATACTAGCATCACTTTACAGTGTCGTATCTGTTATGTTTATGGAAACGTTCTTAAGAAAAAAAATAATAGTAAAAAATCTATTGGTAGCTACTAGCTAGTTAGGCTGATAATAGCAGGCCAAATGTCCTAAATACCCTTTTTACTGAGCAAACTGCAACGAGACACCGCGTTAAATGCTCTGTTCACATCTTTTTCATAATTAGTCGAATATTTAAAAGAGAATAGATTATTAGATAAACACATTTTCATAGTTAGGTCTATATATAAGTATATACTAATGTACCTACTTTTGATGGTTGTGGTCTTGTGGACTTGTGGTTGCTCGTATGTTGTTGTAACATTAGTTATTGCATTCATTTAGACTCAGATCCCACGTTTTTTTTTTTACCAGGAGGATAGCAATAAACAAGGATTCTACAGTAGTGTGAAATTTGACCTAGGATCTCTCTTTGATTTTTGATTTGAAACTACTCCATGAACATCTAGCATAGATTTCACTTCTTGACTTGCATAAGATCAACAGATTTTTTCAACAGTAATCGTCATTGCAAGAAGTGACTCCATAGTCCATATACACACGCGACTAATTGTGTGATTAATAATTACTCGTATGAGGTTTAACAAAGTTATTACGAAGTATTTCACTTGTAAGCATAACTGATAAATTTAGTATTTCGTATATTTCATCTTTGATTTTTTTATTATTATTTTTAGGTAAGAAGGAATAATAAAAGGAAAAAAAAAAAACTAGGAAGCAATTTCATGAAATGACTATATTGAGATGACTCACGTCTCACACAGTCACATTAGCAATAGAAGTATACGCTCAATGATTGCGAGCAATTTTTTTTTTTTTCCTGTTTTTTTTTGGGCTTGCAGATTTGTCGGTGCATACTGATTCAAAAACTATTCTGAAATCTCAAAAAATTAAATGAAATTAAGCTCCCTCTAATTTTCTCATACATAGACACATTCTTTGCTTAATTATAAGATACATCAAACATGTAGCTTCAGGTGATACAAGGAGGGAATACAATTGTAGGAAGATTTTCTAAAAATTCATATTCAAAGCTATTTAATTGCATAAATGATAAATCTCATCTAAACAGAAACAATAACATATTTACATTATTGCCTAAAAACGAAAATTTCTTATTAACTACTCGTAGCTATCAAAAACTGCAAGCTGCAAACAAAATCCAACATTCCAACTTCACCCTCTTACATAAAAAGAAAAAGGCAGACGGGATAAAATTACACTACCTCCGTCTAAATTTAGTTGTCACCTTACCAGTTTACCACTCGTTTAAATTATATCATGCATCAACGTGACATCTAATATCGAACAGAGCTACGGAGTTGTTAATACTAGCTTAATTAGTGTAGCAGTAGAAGTGTGTACAATATGATTAAGCAGCAGCGTGGATCTGTCCACCATTTCCTGCATCAGGTCGTGGCTTTGGTGGCTGTCTTAAGGGACGTTTCATCCTTATTGCTCTGCTATTCACCTCAAGCTTTTCCTGTAATACATACATCATTAAACAAAAATCACATAATATATATATATATATATATATATATATATATATATATATATATATATATATATATATATATATATATATATATATATATATATAACAACTTTATTATAAGTTTAATTAATACAAAGTAGGTTATATTAGAGGATATATAGTTATTTGACAATATTAGATGAAACCATTTACGAATTGAATTACTAACCGTAGTCATCTTGACATCGGTGTTTCCTGCAACAGTTTTGTTTGGAGTGGATGATGGAGATGAAAAACAACCAAAGTCAAGAAACCTAAGTAATGGTTTCATGTTAGGTTTCATGTAGATTTTCATTCTGTTTTTTAGAAAGATTATCACAGTACTTGTATATTTTTGTGAACTAGAAGGGTTGGTGCTTTAACTTCTCTGTTGAGCTATATATAATATATGTATACTCAGATTTATTTTGGATTTTTGGTGTTTTATTTCATTGCCAACACACATAATTATGTCGAGGGCTAAAGTAATAATTGTAATGCTACTACTTTATTTGTATGGTTTGTAAGCTGGCTGGAGTTGACTGTCATTTTACAATACTAAAAATTAGTGTACATAAATTAAAAATGATTACTTTATTTTGATAAAAGATATAATTGACTATTTGGTAATTTAAATTGCTTAGGGTGCGTTTTCTCACCTGAACTCATTTGAATTATCTGATTAGACCAGATTTTTACCTTATGTTCAAATTTTTAACAATCTGCTTAACCTTCTAATTAAATTGACTAGCGTGACAAGTTATTAGAAGTCATTGTTAAATTTATTTGTTGAGTACTCGTGGTGTGGAAGGTAGGTAGTTATGGAACAACCATCTTGACATTGTGGAGAGAGTTTTCCAACATAGTTCACACTTTACAACATGAGCATCTTCTTCTACAATCTTGATCGTTTCACTCAACTTTACTCCATTAACTAGTTATAAATCTTTTTGATTAGAAACTACTGTGTTTCAGCAATAGCTAATGTCCACAAATCTCCATGCAAAAGATTGTAATCGTGTCTATCTTTCACATAAAGCAATGTACAAAAATCTTATCTACTCTTTGTATTTAATAAAGTTGTTCATATCTTTAATTCGTGAAGCACATGCACATGCTATGGCCGATAATTTCTATTGACTACTCTGATAAGGATGAAACTGTTAAAAGTATTATACTAAATTACTAATATTTTAAGCGTTGTTTTGTTTCACTTTGAGAAGATTGTAATCTAATCTCACTAATAAACCGTAAAAGTATTTCATCAAAAAATAAAAAATGACAAAATTTATGAAACATTTTAGAAAATACAAATTAATTGACTTTACCTTACTTCAAACCTTATATATATATATATATATATATATATATATATATATATATATATATATATATATATATATATATATATGTATTTGCTGATTACCTTACTTTAACCTATGAAAGTGATGATTTTAAAATGATTATTAACTCGCATAATCACATAATTATTACATGTCAAGGTAAAGTACGTAATAGTAATTTTCTGTAAATAATAAGGTAGTCGTGGTTGGATTTGATGGTACTTGTGTTGTGTGAGTTGTGTCCATCTTTTTGCACAATCTATATAGTGCTCTTTATTTCCCAATCATGTCTTTCTACTATTGTTTTTCTTTTCTCTTTATGTTTATGTCTTTTTTTTTAGCTGATTGTGATCCACAAATATGATTATCCATTCTAGATTTTTCTTAATTTTTCATTGAAAAGTAATTTTCAATCATTAGTCTAGAATATTATTAGAGATAACAAGAAGAAAATGACAATTGTAAAGGATATTATATGTACAGAAATGATCTGTAATTTTGCATATTTAAAGAACAGAAAATGAGAACGTCTCCAAAGTATAAGGAGTTGCTCATTAATTGCAATGAGTAATTTTTTTTTTGCTCATTAGCAGAGTCTAAAATGAGCCAAATATATTTCCTTAAAAAAAAAAAAAAGAAAGAGCCAAATATATCATTTGAGGAAAAAAAAAAAAAACACACACACACAAACTTAAATGCACTAACTCTAGATGTAGAAATGTATCCTAGTGGTTGGGAATCTTGGGATTTAAGAATTTTCACTAAAGAGCAGTAAGATCTACTTTAGTCAAATAGATTAAAAATCGAACCTATGAATAAACCTAACTCTTAGAAAGCAATTCATATATTTTTTGTATAAGCTTGGATGTTCTTCTCTGCCTCTAATAACTTGAGCCATTAATAATTTTAATTTTGTTATATATTGCATATTGATGGTATCATCTTAATACCAACAAAAAATTCTATAACGACCAATAAAATTAACAATTTCGCATTTGTTGATACCAGTGAATAAGTATTTTGGTATTAGGGTAATACCACGCAAGCAGAATTTCTCTTCAAGATCTACCCACCATACGTCCATACTAACCATAGAATTTAAAAGAGAATTAGAATTGGACCAAGCATAACACATAATGAAGTTGGACTCTTATTGGCCTTATTAGCCCATAATAATTGTTGCATGATTAAATAAAGCTTGTAGCAAACAAACGAAGCCCATAATGACAAATATAAAATGTACCAATTTTAAAGCATAAAAAAAAGCGTGACGTGGGAGCAACGACTATGTTGGGAATTCTAGCCGTAATTTTAAGGCTACTTAAATGAGTTGGACTATCATTGAATTTGAACAAGCACATCTGCACATACAAACAACCCCATTATTATCATCCAGATTAGCAACCCTACCCTAACCTTATTTTTTCATTTTTTAAATGTTTTTTTTTTAAATATCCGACTTTACAATCACATGAATAGTCAATGTAACTCATCTTTAAATAACTTCGTCCTCTAACCAAAATAATTTTTAGTTTCATAATAATTATAAGTATATCCCTCATAACCCTCTAACACATTTTTCAAAACAAATCATAACCTATAGAATCCAAGACTCTTAGACTTGAACCATCTACAAGTACCAAGTACGTGATCAAGTGGGAGTGTTGGGCTACAATCGAACCATCTACAAGATCTATCAACATCATCACCACTTATCTTCTTTATCAACTCAAAGTGATTAACAACACCAAAAGCACTAATAATTTCTGGGTTTTGACTTCATAATCACATGAACTTTCTCCTTAAACAAAACAAAATTCCTCTAAAATAAACCCCACTAATTTACATTTTCTCTCTCCTCACCCACCACCCCACCAAGCACCAGCTAGTTAGTTGCCCACCCTTTTCCCCCCTTTTGCTCTCTTATTTTTAATCTTCAATTCCCACCAAAATTTCCCCAAATTTTCTGGGATTTGAAGTAAAAAAATATGTTTGATTTAGGGGATGATTTTGTACTAGAAAACTTCCAAATTCCATGGCTTATTTGGATTCAAATTTTGGTTATGTTTCTTCTAACCCTCACAATTTTGCTCTCTTACTTTGATATCTTTGTTCTTGATTCTTCTTCTACAAGCAATTATTCGGATTTGAAGGTTTCTTCCAGCTGTTCTCCATGTACCCAGGTGCGAATTTCATCTGCATTCCCTCTATATTTGTGTGATTAAATTTTGTATGGTTTAGTTCTTGAGATTAAAAAAAGTTTATGATTTGCTGATTAATATGCATTTTTTTGAATTGAATTTGAGATTTTTATATGCTGAAATCATCTAATTTTCTGGGTTTTTTTTTTTTTTTTTTTGGTTGATTATAAGTTGTTGAGATGAGATTAGCTAATTTAATTAGGTGAGAATAATCAGGGTATTAGGAAAGTTGTGGAATGAATTGTGACGTTGTGATTGAACCTAATCCAATGCTGACCCTTAATTTCTAAACTGAGTTTTTGTGGAAATGTTGGATTTTGTTGGGATATATAGGAGGAAGATGAAGATGTGGACTTCTAGAATTTGCAATATTTCACTAACAAAAATTTACTGCTGTATTGATATGGGCTTCATTTTCGTGATCTCGAAGATTGGTATAAACTGATAGAGAAGGCAGTTTAGAAAAATTGTATATGATTTGTCCTTCAGGATTAATGGGATGAGATAGGAGCTTTCTTAATTGTTAAATGGTGTAGATTGGAGGATATCATATAGAAGACATAAGCTCTGGTTGCACATTTGATACAGCTAAACCTAGAGTGTTATAAGATTCAGTACAATTTCGTGATGATCCCGACATGCCAAATATGGATCTAAAGTCATCCAAATCCTTCGTTTGCCCCCCTGGGATATAAAAAGTAGAACCGAAAAAAATGAGATAATCAACCTGATTGCCATGGAAGTAATCCTCTTGGCTGCCTGTTCTTTCGTCAAATTACTAGGATGGCTAATTGTCCATTTACTAATGTTCAAATTGAGCTCTGGACTGTGATTACTAGGTTTATGTAGAATACTGTAGTACACATACTTCTAGTCTTCAAACTCCTCTGAATCAAAGCTAGTGAGCGAAATTTTCCCTTTATATTTTATCTTGAATCATAGCTAGTAACTGAACTTCCCCTCTATGTTTCTAACTCTCTATTTTGAACCCAAGCTAGAGACCAAACTTCCCCCCTATGTTTCTAACTTCTTTTGGAAGGGGAGGTGGGGGTCAATGGAGAAACTTGTAGGATTCAACTTTGGCTTTGCCGCCGACACCTATACTTTTTATGAAGGAATTCCATATACTATCTTAACAGGGATGAACATATCATATGATACAACTAAATATAGATCCCCAAAAGAGCTTCTCTATATGGATTTTGTTTTGGCTAGGCTGATATTGGCCATAACAGATTTTGTCACCAGGGTTGACAAAGTGTTTTGGAAATATATGCATTTATCACCATCTGGATCTAATCCTAAATGTCACGTGCCCTCTTAAAAATGACTTATGAAATAGGCTGAATTCTTAGTTGTGATTGTGATAATTCTGATAAAGCACATTATTGTTTCCATTGTGCTCTTCCATGTGAATTCATGGACATGGTTGCTGTGTGCTGTGTGGAGACAAATTCTCCCACTTCGTCCTTGCTAGAATATATTCGTTAAAATTTCTTGGAAGTATCCTGAATGTTAACCTAGAAAGTTCAACTTGAACCAGTACTTTGGTCCAATCAAAGTGAGCTGCTTTATGGATATCATGATTCACGCTCTGAACTCTCCTTTGAAGTACTCTATATTTCTGTGGAAGTACTAAAGTACTAAGTCATTCAGTCACCTTCAAACCGAGAGTTCTAGGAAATTCTTTTCACGAGTGTTGGGTTAGTCTAGAGCCTCTTTGCTATTGTAGGGGTAAGACTGTGTACAATAAGACAATTATTCCTTTGGTCGGGAATTTTTGTAGTGGCATTGGGGTTGTTATATGATGATCCAAAATTTCAATTGACTTAAAGATAATCAGGTAAGCTGTGATAAGTTTGAATAAAGGGTTACCAGTTTCATTTGACAGCAAAAGATAAGTTCAGGTTAGGTCTAATAAATTTAGATAAGATGTAATTTGTTCCTATAAGAGGTTTTCAGGTGAAGGAACATAGCCTACATCCCTTGTAAGAATTCATTATATGAACAATGAAGTTGTTACCCACCTCACCAAACAGATTTCTCCTGAGATGATTAGTGAGACATATGGATGATTTTCACTGCAAAAGATCAATTTTGGGAAAACTCTTATTGGTAAAGAGAGCTTATTTCTGGTGCTTATCTTCAGTAGAGAGTAATTGGTCGACATGTTCTGAAAGTTGGTTGGGTGAATGATAATATATCCATATGTCTAAAAACTCAATTATTCTGTATAGATCGATTTTGTATTTTTTTTCTTCTCCAATCTCTCCTTTAAGAGATGACATGAAGGCGAGTGGTGGGGGTGGGGGAGTTGACAGTGAGGTTTATCACATTTTTTTGGGGAGAAAAAATGCTAGGAACAATCGCACAGATACATTTAGTCTCTCTATATAAGGTTTAATAGGAATCACAATCCTTGTTTGCTTTAGATTTCTGAATCTATGTAATAAATATTAAAAAAAATTATTATATCAGCAGGTAGCTGGGAATCATGATTCCAGGAGGGAAATAACTACCACGCCTAGCAACAGAGTGAGGTGTGTTGGGGAAAGGGATTCTTCTGTGAAGGATTTACCTTCTTCCACAGTTTCAAAACATTTCTTCCACCCATGCCGTTATTTTGATTTTGCAAAAGAAGCTCTCCTGAAATGTCTAGGTTTGGGTTCAGGATCTCACAAGTCTCTTGACGAAGAAGATGAACATGACGACTGATGCATGTAGATCTGTCACGACCTCTTTTGATGTTCATGTAGTCTCTCATTAATTCTATAGATGTTCAAGATGAAAATCAGGGAAGGATCTTTTAACAATTCCAATTATTCTGGTGGAAATTGCTCCTTTGCATAGCAACTTAGCTGTACAGATCGGAGGGAGAAGACGAGTGCGGTATTGACAAAATGTATAAAATTGGTGTCTTAACATCTATTTATAGAATTATAGTTGGAGTTTTGACAAGGTCACAGGATGTGTCAGAGAATTCATATCTGAGTAATCTGACCAAATCTCAGATTATTGATTTTGTAATTTCACAAAGAATTAGTTCAGGTTTAGTATTTTTTTTTTCTGTGAAAATAGGAATGTAAAAATGTTGGAAACTGTGAATATCTAATTAATTTCCCATAATTTTGTTTGCTACAGCTCTAAATTATTCCCTGCTGGTTTTCCCTTTTACAGTATTTTGATTGAGGTTAATGTTGATTTTTTTTTTTTTTTTTTTTTTTTTTTTTTTTTTTTTTTTTTGACAATCTAGTGTTGATTTGAATTCATCACTTTTGAACATGATCTGTAGTTCTGTACATGTAGTAGTAATATAATTTTCCTTTGCCCATGATCTGTAGTCGTATCATTCCCACCTCAAATCCCTTACTAGAATATTATTATGTTAAAATTATTTTACATATTTTAGACTAATAAGTTCTAATACATTCCCATAATCCCATCATATACATCTATATTAGCAAAGCTATACTTTTGATGTTTAACTTCATCTTCTATTATTAACCCATATCAACATATCATGATTATCAGCATCAAACTGTCAAACCTATTCCCCAAAATAGGCATTCTTTTACATAAATAGCTGTAAATTGTTCATCAAATATCATAGACTTGAAATAATTTATCTCATTTGTACATAACTTCAAATACTTGTGACAAGATTGAAACAAAATAAAAAACAAAACAGATAATAAGAATCTCGACTATAAAATTTGAATAAATGGCAAAAATCTTCGTACAATATAATTAAAAAAAAATTTAAATCAAAAACTTAATATGAAATTTATATAGCTAATGAACTCAACGTCAAAAATTTGAATTCAAAGCCTTATATTTTTGCAAAATTAAAATTTCATTAGCTGTACATAATCCTTCAAAAATTACAGCTTAATTAGCAAAATCTCTTAATCTAAAATTAGCATACTAATCAATCAACTAATACTTCCTTCCTAACTAGGAGAGCCTCTCCATTGCATTTTAATGCATGCAATCAAATTTAATTTCACCACCACACAAAAATAAGGAAGAAGAAAACCCATCATAATTTTAAATAAAAATTATAAATGGGAAAACAAAAACACCATATAGAAATCAAAATTTGTCAAGAAGATTTATTAGAAGAAGAATCAACAACAAAACCACCTCTTTTACAAGATGGACAATCCTCCTTTTCCCTAGTAGAACCATCTCCTAGTAAGCACAAACAACATAAAGAAGCGAAAACGGTTCGGGTTCTCCGGTCCATGATCCGATCATTCCCCATTATATCTCCGAAACATTGTAGGTTACCTGATATAAACTTCCTTAGCAATGGCACGAGTAATCGTGTCACGGGCACGTTGTTCGGGTATAAGAAGGGGAAGATGAATTTTTCCCTACAACAATCTACCAAGTGTTTGCCTACGTTGGTATTGGATCTACCTATACAAACTCACGTTCTTCAAAAGGATATGAGCGTAGGAATGGTTAGGATCGCGCTAGAATGTGAAAAAAAGGATGAAAAGGAGAGGAAGGGTTTGTTAGAAGAGCCTATTTGGGACATGTTTTGTAATGGGAAGAAGTTTGGTTACGCGGTTAAGAGGGATGCTAATGAGATGGATTTGAGTATTATGGAGGTTCTTAAGGTTATTACAATGGGCGTGGGTGTCTTGCCTTCGTCCGAGTTTTGTGATGGTGATGATCCAGACGACGAATTGGCCTATATTCGAGCTAACTTTGATTATGTTGTAGGGTCGAAGGATTCGGAGACCTTATATATGTTGTGTCCGGAAGGAAATATTGTTCTTGATCTTAGTATATTCTTTGTAAGGATTTGAGGTTGCATTGTATTTACATATAATGTTGGTTATTAGGGAGGATCATGTTACAAATTAGAGGTCATTCGGGAGATATTAGATACAATTCCGAGCATTGAGTATTATGTTCTCCGTTGGCGATTGCAATGTGCGCACGCGAAGGAGGTCCTTAAGATCGTAACGTGCACCGACTAGGAACATTAACCATTTTTGTGCTCTCGAGTGCATACAGTGAGCAATGTTTCCCCTTTTACCAATTAATTTGAGGGTAAGATACATATGTACCTATATTACGTACAAGAAACCAACTAGATGTGGCAAATAAGTTGTTCTATCTGGTTTGGGTTTGGTTAGGTCAATTCAAGTAGGATTGTATATGTGTAAGGTTACTACGTTAAGGTTCATGTGTGGCAAAGCAATTCAAGTTGGGTTACTCTATTGTCAATTAAATAAATCAAGTCATATTTCGAGCTGAGTTGAGTTGGCTAGAGTTCGGGTCAATTTTAAGCTATCAAGTTTCAAAAACAAATTGGTTGCAAAAGGTTGTATTTGAGAGTGTGAGACGCCATCTAGCAAGTAAGAATTATCATTGAATAGCTTTGAAATCTTGGCCTGACAAAATCTCCTGTAAATTGAATATAATATCATGATTGTATTAATCAGCCCATCCATGAAATACCAGATCATCAATTTGCCTATTGTATGCTTCCTCAATAAACCTTAAAAGACAAAATTATAAGTTTGTCTCCTTTCTGTCATTCTATGTGACGATAAACCAATCTAATTTGGAGAAGTAGTTTTTGGATTAGATTACCTTGCTTGATTGAATTTGTTGATCTAGTTGGGTGGGTGGATCACAATAACCAAATGATTCGATATTCTCTTTTGTCATGAAAAACTCAATTTACTTCATCATAAAAGAATAAGCATTTATTTTGACATCCATTTCTTGTATGAGATGGTTTTATTGTTAGTCGGTAACTAATTGTATTGATAACTTTATTCTATATAGGGGTCGTCGTGTAACTTTTCAAATACATTTAGAGGTAAGTCTAATGAGTCACTAGTGAATTAGCGGTTTTGTCCAAAATTTCTTGTTCCAATTATGAAATCGTGTAACCATTCTTGTGGGCACCTTGTACTATTTCTTGCAGTCATTAATAACAGTCATTTAGTTTCTTGATGTATTATTATGTAGTTGAGGTGCACTTAAGTAACACTTCATCTACATACCTAATGCATAGATGTATGGAGCATATAATGGGTGACTTATGCTGTGATGAAATTAGGAAGAACTTGATTGAAAGCTAACCTCATGACCAAGCTATTTGGATGTATTCTTTGCTGGACCATTTAGTTTAGGACTATCATCTCCTTTAGCACTACAAAAAATGCTTGCCTCGTGTGCTACGTGCAAGAAAATTCAAATCAATTGATTTTTTTTACAAGGAAAAAAAGACTAAAATTATAAATTTTGGAAACAAGAAATGTATTTTCCGATTTTCTGTCCGGCTATATACGTTTGGCAATGACATGTGAAAAGGAGATGAACTGATAATTTAAGTTAACAAAAATTGAAAAGGTAGTATTAGTTGAAGTTGATAAGATAATCAAATGACTTGTTTGATAAAACAGTTGCTTAAGTAGTTGAAATTTGTTAAATAATACTTCTATGTAGTATAAATTTTGAATTATAATCGGGTTGAATAAAACTATAGAAAAAATGAAGGTCTTTGTTTTTAGATAACAATTAAAGTAACATCTCAATTTAAGTCATTTCAAGACCTCAAATTCTGTTTTGTATAAGGTGCTCATCAAACAACTCTAATTATTAAAATAAACATATGATTGATTAATTATAGAACCATAAACAAAAAAATCAACCAATATCCCTTAAAGGCTTCAAATACGGACCCTAAATTTAACAAGTTGAGAGGACAATATGAAGTAATGATCCATCGATCGATACTACACCAATTAAAATGAATTTTCATTCCAACCACCCTTCCTCTACATCAAATCATATTTTCCAACCTACCAATCTCACATAGCCACATTTAATTTGACCTTTTCCTCCCAAGCTACAAATAAATTAAACCATCACATAAATACTAATATTAGAAGAACATACTAAAGAGTTTTAGTACACTAATAAAACCTACCTTAATTACTTTTCTCTTGTCCTATGCCACCCCTTTAAAAAAACGTTGTCCCACCATAATTATTCCACAACCTTTGAAAGCAACTTTAGACCCCACTAATAGTAAGCACGTAGCCAATCTTAACCCCTCATACTTCTTACCCTTACGTGTATACTTTCTATTCCTCCCAAAATACCTTCATATTACCCAATTAAAACAAACAAAATAAAACAACCTAATACAATCTAGCTTCACTACATTCTTCTAAAAATAAAGATTCCTCTTTTTTGTTTTTGGCTTTGTTTTCTCAAGCTCTCCTCTAAATGATGGCTTCTATGGCCTCGACGCGTGTGGTGCACTGCGAGCTGCAGACGCCGAGGCAGGCCCCAGTAAGGTTGGGGCTTGACTCGACGAGCAGTCCTGACCAGGCAAAGATTGTTCTACAACCACGGTTGTGTACCCTTAGATCGTATGCTTCTGACCGAGGTAGCGGGGTGATCAAGACGATTGTCACTAAATCGAAGGACGCTAGTGGTGGTTTTGGTGTTGATGGGATTGACCAAGGGGAGGAGGAGTTGTTGTCTCCGTTTTTGGCGAATTTGTATGAGTATATTGAAAGTAGTAAGAAGAGTCAAGACTTTGAGATCATCACCGGTCGACTTGCTATGGTACATACTTATTTTGATGTTCTTATAATTCTTTTCTTTTCACATGAATGTTGTTGGATTGATCTCAGCTTAGCTCATAAAGTAATTAAGTATGCGTTTTTTTAAAAACGAAACAGAACATGCAAAAATCAAAGCAAGATGTAGTAAAACTAATCAATACGTAGTATATTTGTTACTTTGTAAGGTTAGTAGGTCTTGGTATAATTAGACAAGGTTAAAAGTTTAAAACTAGTTGTTTAACGATCTTCCTGAGCAATCAGCAAGAGTTTTATGAAATAACACTTTATGACTCCGTAGTCCGTCCCAACATATTACTCCTCGTAGCCTATTTGTCTTCTCATGTACACATTTCCAATAACATTTCTTGACTAAGAGTAGTCATTTATATTGACCATACACAAAGCGAATAGGAAAATTATTTCTGGACGAAAAGAGCACTGAAGTAATTAATATTTAATGTGGTGTTAGATTTTACGGATAAAGAAAAAAAATCAACTAATAACCCTACTTGATTGTTATCCGGGTGTAGAAAAGGAAAATAAGGAGGATGATTAAAGGGATAAATCAAGGGGACCATTTGAGATGCTTACGCATTATGAAAGGATGGCTTCCAATCTGATAGTTATCGTTTAAAAGTGATGAAAATTTAGACAAATAACCAAAAAAAAATGCCTAGCTAATTGACAAAAGGTGCATATACTTGCATATATGTGGTCCATTGAACACGAAATGACATTCAAAGGTGAGATAAAGATAGGAGATCGGGGTGCTTTTTACGGAAAGAAGTGTTTATTATTAGAAATAATTGAAGTGTTTTCAATGTATTTCAGTTTAAGTTCGGGTTTATATTAATTCTCTTATTTAGGCTAGGGATGAAATTATTGAGACATATAAAATAAGAAATGAACGTGACTTATTATTTAGGGACATTAATTAGAGTTGTCTTTTTTTTTTTTTTTTCAGATAGTGTTTGCTGCAACAATTGGTGTTGAGTTAGCAACAGGCAACTCAGTCTTCAAGAAAATGGACGTGGAAGGGATAACTGAAGGCTTAGGGGCGTGTATGGCAGCAGTGGGTTGCGCAGCGGCTTTTGCTTATTCCTACAATGCGCGGAAGAGGGTAGGCCGTATCTTCAGCATCAGCTGCAACGCCTTCATCGATGCTCTTATAGACAACATCATCGATGGCTTGTTCTATGAGAACGATGAAGTTGAACAATCCAATGACAACAACCTATGAACAAAGAATGTGCAATGAGCCTCAAGTTTTTTTTTTGACGAATATCAATCATAGCTATATAAGAATATGTTACTTTAAATGTATGTATAGTCGTATATAGATTTATACAATTATACGTGTAAGTAACTAGTATGAATGTATATATAGGAATCATACCTAGTATAGTATAGTTATATACGTAGTAGAACCGTCTAGTCCGTCTTATATATAAAGAGTAGTAAATATGTGGATTATAGTTGACCAAAATATAAAAGTTACTAAGTTAGGAATGTGATGTAAGTGTAATGTAATGTATATATGTAATATGTGTTAGAAGTCTATAATCATGAACTTCTATATTTCATACAAATTACTCTGATCTTGCATCCCTTTTGGCAATTACTAACACATTTAAAGTAAATCTAATCGATCGATCACTATTGTTAATGTTATTTACACCCTAGTAGTAGTAATAGGTAAATGGCTAGAGCCCTTAGAAGGGTGGTGCTAGGCTGCTAGCTAGTTAAGCCATTTCAAGTAAACAAAAACATGCGATTGAACATTATGGAATTATGGTTAGTGCTGTTGCTTGCCTTAAGGTAGAGTTGAGCTTGAGCAATTTGGCTAAGATATGTATGGAGCATTAAACTTGTAATTTTCATTTATTTTATTTGCCAAAATGCTAAATTCAACTAATTTTGAGTACGATTTCTTTAGTATAGAGACATAGAGTCATCATCACTTCGAAATGTAATATAAAGTCCAAACTTGAGCCATTAATGTAATAAGACTAAACCAAATCAACCTTTTGCTCATTTAGGTTCTAATTTATTCACAAGTTAATAGCGCATTTCTTACCCCCCAAAATTATAACCTTCTTTTAGAAGTGATACTCAAGATATAAGATCAAATCTCATCTAAAACATTTACGTACCTTTTGTGACTCTCTCTACACTACAATAGAAAAAAAAAACTTAATTTTTAAACGATATAATTTCCAATCTAGGTAGGGTAGGGATGCCATAGCGGGAAGATCCACCGCACAAACACTTCCTTTACGGTTACACTAAGAGTACCCACAGCCATTAACTATTTGGGTGGTTATTAAGAGAGAGAAAATGAAAATATTAATAAAATATTGAGGAGAGAGAAATTATTGGGGTATCAATTGAATAACCAGGTTATTCAAATAACCGGTTATGTATATGGTCATGCAATTTTTTTTTTTGCTTTTTGGTTGACATGGATGGCTAAGATTTTGACACGTAATACAAATATCAATGGTTGAGATTTGCTCTGAATTTATAACCGTTGTAATTTTTGTAACGGCCATAATTTTTAAAATACAATTCTGAAAAAAAAAAAATACACCAACGGCTCTATTTTATTTTTCTCTATAAAATGAGCCCAATATTGAAGTATTTTGAAACAACTTTTTTTTAAGTGAAAATTACTCTTCTTATTGGCAAATTGTGTTAAGATGAACATTCCAAAATCTAACAGAAAAAAAAAATCCACAAAATCTCATAACTCATCACATCCCCAAAATAATCCAAATCCTCAACCTTACTATTCTAATCTTCCAATTGATCTCAACTCAGATTTAGATACAAATTTTCAAAATTTTCCGAATTACGGTTCACAAAATCTCAATTTCTCAAATCCAAGTACTTTCACTCCGTTTCCTTTTCAACCACCACAAAATCCTAATTATTCAAATTCTCCAAATGTTATCCCATCTTTTGAAAATATTCAAATCTCTCAAATTGATTCAACATTTCCCATGTCTCAACATTTTTCTATGTCACAAGGTGATGGTGCATTTCCAAGTTTCGATTGTTCATACACATCGAATGCATCAGATGACGAAAATGAACCAGAAGTTGAAGAAGGCGAAGGTAATGAAAGAGGTAATGAAGGAGGCAATCAAGATGGAAGGAAATTTTTTTGGTCAAAAGCTGAAGAAGTGGTTCTTGTGAAGGCTTGGCTTGAGGTTAGTCAAAATAAAAAAACTAACACTAACCAAAAGGGGGATGTTTTTTGGAGGAAAATTGAAGAAATGTATAATAATGTTAGACTATACAAACAAAGGTGTTTCGAAGAAGGTACTGATCGGGTAACACGAGAAGATTTGTTGAAAATGAGGGGTACGGAGCAACTTAGAAACCGTTGGAGAAGGATTAATGCTTCATGTTCTAAATTTTGTGGCTCACATGCTCATGCTGAATCAAAAAAGGGAAGTGGTATGAATGATGAAGATGTTATGAAATTAGCATATAGTATATATGCTAACGACAAAACAAAGTCTTCATTATGCTCTAAAACCTTTCAAGACAAGCATGTTTGGGACATCTTAAAACAACATGAAGCATGGAAACCAAGTGAAGATGTTGTTAAAAAATGCAAGGAAAAGACATCCACTCAAGGAAGTGACTCAAAGAGATCTCGTATCAATGAAGCTGGAAACTACTCCTCTTCATCAAACCCAGAAACACCAACCAGTGGTGATATTGGGTATTCAGGCTTTCCTTCTAGCAACGAATCTAGTAAAAATAAAGGAAAGAGCAAGGTGCCAAACATGCCAAGTGGAGCATGGCAACAATGGTTGGACACTGCCCAGAACATGAACCTTATAAGGCAATCAGAAAATGAAGTTGAACTTACAAGGTTGCAACTAGAAAGGGAGAAAGAAGCAAGGAAGCAAAGAAAATTAATATGGAGTTATTTAAACACCTCGATTCAAAGCCAAACTTATCTTCGGAAGATCAAGAATTAAGGAGCACTTTGTTGAAGAAGTTGTTCCCCTCAGACTAATGTATTAGTGTATGGTTGATTATTGTCGTAATGTTGGTTGATTTCAAATAATTCCTTTTTTATTGTTCTTTTTTATGTACTTAAGGTCTGATTTGTAGTTTGAATATTTTTAATAAGTTGTTGTTTGAGGATGTGAATGAATTTTATATTATAATGTCATTATTAATAAAAAAAATTAAGTTAAATTACATGTCTCTTCTTATAATCGTATTATAAGCTTAATAATATTATTCAATACATTAAAGTTTGTATATAATAACATATAATTATTATTGATCTGACTAAACCTATTGATTCACTTTGATATATCACTGCAAAAGATGTACATTGATTTACATTACACTGTAAAGTATTTGATGTACCCAACACTGAAAAGCAAATATTAAATACTAGACATTGATGTACTTAATACTGAAAAGGTAATAGTGAATTTTGTTCACTGATGTACTTAACACTGAAAAGGAAATAGTAGCATGCATCACTTGCTTTGACGTACATAACAATGTTAAGGTGATAGTGACAATGCAAAGGCATGCATCTCCATTACTTTTAAAAATTATTAACTACTTTATGAATCATTGCATGCATGCAAGACTTCAAATTTACCATATAAGACAAAAAAATTACTACATATCATACACACTTGTTCTATAAGATGGATACATCAGAGTGGGATTCCCTTGAACAACCATCCATTTCCCCCTATTATACTTCTACCTTCCATTCTCATATCAAATTTGGTTTTAAAAACATGTCATCTGACGATAGCTCCAACTCTTCTAATTCCTCTTCCAATTCAGAAAATAGCCAAACCCAACAATATGAAAGACGAAGGCAAGCCAATCGCCAGTTCGATCGAATGATGGATGAAGTTTTTATGTCCAATCCAGTTGAAGTATATCAAATGTTTAATCAAGTGCCAAGGCCACCAAGGGTTCCCGTTCCAAGGGATCGTGAGGATGGACACAGTCGTTTATGGAATGACTACTTTACCGACCATCCTGTGTTCCCTCCACAATTATTCCGTCGGAGATTTCGCATGAACAAACATATATTTCTCCGAATTAAGCAAACTTTAGAAGAACGTCATCCCTTCTTCCAGCAAAGACAAGATGCTACAGGAAGATTTGGTGCCTCTGCATTACAAAAATGCACCGCGGCTATGAGACTAATAGCTTATGGCACCTCCACTGATTCTGTGGATGACTACATTCGGATTAGTGCATCTCTTGCAAGAGATTCACTTCAGCATTTTGTGGAAGGAATAGTCTCTTACTTTAGTGATGAATACCTTCGAAAGCCCAATGAAGAAGATATAGTAAGACTACTAAGGATTGGTGAACGTCGTGGATTTCCTGGCATGTTAGGTTCTATTGATTGTATGCATTGGAGGTGGAAAAACTGTCCATTTCGATTAAAAGGTATGTTTTCTGGAAGACCAGGTAAACCCACATTAATCTTGGAAGCTGTGGCATCATATGATCTTTGGATCTGGCATGCCTTTTTTGGGACACCATGTAGTCGTAATGATATTAATGTTCTTGGTAGATCCCCATTGTTTAATGATGTTTTTGAAGGTTGTGCACCCTCTATTAACTATGTTGTGAATGGTCGCACATACAATATGGGATATTATCTCACTGATGGTATATATCCTAAATGGGCGGCATTCATTCCTACAATATCACTACCACAAAATGAAAAAGAAGGTCTATTTGCCAAAGTACAAGAAGCTAAACGAAAGGACGTTGAGCGTGCTTTTGGAGTATTACAAGCTCGTTTTGCAATAATACGGAATCCAGCGCTAGCTCGTGACGCATCAATGTTAGGAAAAATAATGATAGCGTGTATTATTATGCACAATATGATTGTTGAGGATGAAAGAGATACTTATAAAACGTATTACGATCCAAATGAATATGATCAAGCTACAAATGCGTCTTCAAGTAATGAAAATAATGAAGAGCCTTTTCAGTTCCAAAATAGCAACAACCGAATTGCAAGTTTGGAAACTTACATGTCTAATAGAGCACGTGTTCGTGATGAAGCTATGCATAAAGCATTGAAGAAAGACTTAGTTGAACATATGTGGCTCAAATTCGGTGTTCAAAGTAGGGACAATAATATGCATTAATAGATGTGTAATCGCAATATTATATCATTGTGTTTGTACTTGTTCGCGGTTCGTTATTATCTTTCAAAGACTTTTGTCATTTGATAGAATATATATGTATGATTTTTATTATTGTGGAATGTAGTAGGGTTACAATTATTGTTTGTGTCTTAATTAACGACTAATTACGTACTAATTAATATCAAAATTGCATTATTTTTAAATTTTTGAGATTTTATCTAATTAATGTATGCTAATAAATAATTATTAATTTTGAATGATTATTACCAAATGCATTATTTAATAATAATAGAATTTAAGTAATAAATTGTGTGGTGGGGTTGGGTAAAAGTAGGAGAGAGAAAATGTATAACCAAAATATTATGGTTAACTATTGGCATACATTGGTTATTAAATGGTTATAAGAGTGGTTATAAGTGAGG